ATATCAATTTTCAGCTCCTTCTTCTCATTTGGGAAGTTCTCTTCAATTATATCCATGAATATTTTCTCTGTTCCTACATCTCTCTCCTCTCCTTCTGGAATTCCTATAACTCTTATATTTCCTTTCCTCATGGAGTCAGATAGTTCCCGAAGTCTTTCTTCATTCTTTTTCCTTCGTACTTCTCTTTCCTTTTCTGTTTTGGTTCTTTTTATTTCTGTGTCTTCAAGATTACTTATTCGTTCTTCCATTTCATCTATTCTGCTTTCACTGCTTTTCCCAGAGTTCTTTAGTTCCTCCATTAATTCTTTGATCTCCTGCATTTCTCTTACTTCCCTCTTTAGGGACTCAATTTCCTTCTTCTGATCTATCACTTTTTAATCATGGCAATTTTAAATTCTCTTTCTGGAAGGCTCAGAAGTTCTTCCAAGTTGCTGTCGTTGCAATCTGGGGAGTGGTTTTCTTTTTGTGGTGTGCTTCTTTCCTGAGGAGTTTTTAGGTTGCGTGTGGTTCTTCTACTCCCTACTGTCTGTTTTCTAATTTGTCGTATGCGTTGGGACACTGTGTTGCTCGGACTGACTGACATCTTGGGTGAACTTCTCCGCTCCCCTCTGGCTCTTCCAGGAGCCATCTCTGTCTTCTGGGGGAGCTTTCTGCTGGTTTTAGGCAGTTTTTACTGAAGAAATGTCCCTGTTCTCAAATGGCGAAGCGGGATGCAGTCCCTGCGCCTCCGGTTTCAGGCACACTCTTCTGCGCCCCCGGTCTGCCCCGGACGTGGGTGCCTGCTCCCTCTGTGGGCTCAGACTGCTGGTCGGAAGGGGCCTGGCGTGGAATAACTTCCCGGCTGGCCACTGGGTCCTCCAGAAACCTTCTGCCCTTTTCAAGCAGTCTTAAGAAATGTCCTGTTTTATAGGGTGTTAGTGACTTTTTTTTTCCTGGTCGCTAGGTGGCGCCAGAGATCTCTCCTATTGTCCTTGGGGGGCTGTTTTTCGCCTCCCCCCACCCCGTGGGACAGAGAACAGAGCGGGAATGGTAGGGTACACCTCAACAGCTTTGGGGTGCTGTGTCTGCCTTGTGCCCCACCGTCGTGGAGAAACCACGCCCCGAATTTTCGTGCCCCGGGTCTCAGTTCAAAGCCCTCAGTTCCAGGACGCGGGCTGTAGCCCAGTTCAGTGGCGCGGGAATGGCGCCTTTTGCACCGCTCCCGTGCCTGGGCGCCTGGTTCCTGCTCACTCAGGGAGGGACCTTCACCTCAGTGAGGACCTCCGCGCGTCTCCCCGCAAGCCTAGGTCGCAGGCGCGGGGACCTGGGCAGCCGCGATCCAGGTCTGCACTTGCTTTTCAAGCTCCCCGAGCGCGCCGCGTTTCCGCGCCAGCTTACCGGCAGCCCGGGCTGTGTGCGCGTCTCCCGGGGTCTTTGTTCTTCTCTAATGGCGCCCGGAGCCGTTCGCTCACCGCCTCGGCGGATCCTGCAGGGTTCGCCTCAGCTCCCGTTCGCGGGGTGTGGTGGCTGCAATAGTTCCTTTCCACTCACAGTCCCGCTTGCTGCGTCGTTTGTTCTTGTGGGCCATTTTGGTTTGTTGTTTCCTCCTCTCTGCCGGTCGGAGAGTGCCGCCTCTGTGGGCGGGGGAGGGGAGCAGGGTTCTGCGCTTTCCTCCCTTCTAGTCCTCTTTTATGGCCACTTTCTTCTTCGGGCAGTTCGCTGGCGTCACCCGTTTATCTTCCATCTTCCGTGTCCCAGTTCTCACTGGGACCTGCCGCTTTTCCTCCCTATTCACTTTTTTTAATGGGAGATCTTACTCGCAGTGTCTCCTGGCCGCCATGTTGCTCCGCCCCCTTAAATTTCATTTTTTAAAAAACTTTTTAGTTGTGGCATAAACCACATGATACAAAATTTACCATCTTAAATATGTTTATGTGTACAGCTCAATAGTGTTGAATACATTTCCATTATTGCACAACTAATCTCCAGAATTCTTTCCATATTGTAAAACTAAAACTCTGTATTTGTTAAACAAGTGCCCATTTCTCCTCCCTGAAGTCAATTTTTAAATGAGAAAATACAAATGATGTTTTCATACTCCCTCCATATACATATACCTATAGACCTATAAAGTTGGGGGGGGGGGTCACTGAATTCCAGGTAGCTGCTAGAATTCTCTTCACAGAGATCTCTGGGCATCCATTAAGCAGTGGGAGCAGGTCTGTGTGACAGGCTAACCCCAGAGCTGTACATCAGTGTGTCACCAGACTGGTTGATGTGGCCACACTTTTGCCACGAGTCATGGAAGGAGGTCACGTGACCAGTAACTGCAAACCCTCCCCTTGGGTAGCAATCAAAAGATTTTGGGAAAATTAAAAATAGCTCCTCATGAGGAAAATGTGGAAGCCCCTAGAGTTAGGTTCTTCTCCGGTGGGCTTGTGAGTCTGGCCAGCTGGGAATAATGACACTGAATAACATTTACAGAACTTTCATAAAACACATTATCACATGTAATCCTGCCAACATCTGGGTAAATTACCATTACTTTCATTTTTCCAGCAAAGGAGACTGAGGATGCCACTTAACATGTCAATCCAACACTGTAATGAATGAATGGGGTTAAAAAAAAAAATACAAAAACAGCTAACTCTGTGCCTGTGGTGACTTTCTTTTTTCTCCTTTGCTGGGTTTCCTGGTAAGTCAAGGATATACAGGATGAAAAGGAATGTTCCAGTTAGGGGTGGATTAAGTAAGTGTTGGTTTCAGTCTAGGACTTTTAAGTTTTTCTGAAAAACCAGCTTATTCATAAAAATTCATTGAATTATACTCTTAAGATTTGGGTACTCAATTAACAAGTTAGTATTAAAAAAGAAAAACCTATTTAACCCTGAGTTTCCCTCCCTAAAATGACTTTAAACATAGAATAAAGGATACCATAGCCAAATCAAGTATTGGCAAACAAGGGATCGGTGCCCCAACTTCCAGCAGAACATAGCATTTCTTTCTGTGGGCCCCAAGTCATTACGGTCCCCCCCCTCAGCCCCTCTTACTTACGTGATAGACCCTGAAACTTAGTGAAAACATCTGAAACTTATTAAAGTGGGAAACCCTAGAGTGGGTTAATTTGGGGAGGATTTAACATCCCACTCCAGGTTTATATGGAATTTTGATAAGCTGTAAACCACAGGAATAGAGTTTTAAATATAGACTCTGTTGGTTTGTGGGGCATTCAGGAGAAGCCGAAGGAGCGACAGGGCATTCCTAAGCCAAAGATCTACTTCATCTGTTACATTTCACCTCCCAAATTGGGATTTTGATTTATTAAGAGGCTTTTGTTATGTTCTGCAAAAACATAACCTTAAGAGGTAAACTCCCAGTGAATGTAGTTTGGAACTACTGGATTTTGGCTTATGACGACAATAAGCAGAATATTTTAAATGGGCTGATTAAGAAAATCTGGAGGGTTTTTTTGCTGCCATTGTAAGACTACCTTTTTTGAGAAGATGTAAGACTCCAAAGCCAAAAGAGACAAAAAATTCAGTCTGGATCACAAGATGCACTTAGCAGCCTGGAGTCCTGCAGTTTTCTTCTGTGAGGTATAGTGAATGCCACCTAGCTTAGGTAGCACAGAGGTTTTGCCAAGAGAGAGAGCAGCTAAAAAAAATGCAAGCCCCTCAAAGGAGACAAAGGTGATTTTCAATTCCCAGGGGGTTCCTTGGACTTAATATGTCAGGAAAGGGTGGTTCCCTTTTCTTTTCTCTTAGGTAAAGATTCACAGTAAGTTGGTTTTAAGCACAGACACTAATTTTCACCTCAGGGGCATGCTATTAGCTCTGTCTACTTCTGGGCAGGTTCATCACTGCCTTAAGTCCCCTGAACTACATGTCAGGCTTGCGTGCGACCAGTCTGCAGAGGATGGGAGGCCAGGGGCCAATCCCAGAGTGCTGACCTGGGGAGCTCCCAGGGCAGGGCAGAGGGTCTCAAGCACATGTGTCACTTCTCCTGGGTCCCTTACCACCCAGAATGGGATCTGGCCAAGAACAGTAAGGCAGCACGAGGCACATTGCTCAGAATATTGAAAAGAAAAGGGAAGACATCGGGGCCTCCCCAGTGGCGCAGCAGTTGATCACTGGATTGCGAAGCTGCCTGCAGCCTCTGCAGCGCCGGTTCGATCCCTGGCTGCTCCCCTGCCACCGGAGGAGGGTCCCGCATGGCGTGCAGACCTCTCCTGCCGCTCGCTGCTCCCCTCAGCAGTGTATTTGGTCAGTCTGCCTGTTCTGTTCCCCGCTCTGGCTCTGGTGAATTCTCTCACCCTCCCGCCCTTCTGACTGTATCCAGTGCTTGTATAAATAAATAAATAAATCTTTTTTTTAAAAAAAAAAAAGGGAAGACATCAAAATATAGCATCTCTGCAATTAGAACAGGTTAAAACAGATTTTATTTGATGTATGAGAATTGTGCTTTCTTGCAATGTTTAAGAGTAAACATAAAAGCAGCATAAATAAGAGAAATAAATGTGCCCACTGTATAAACCTCAAAAACCTCTGTCCATATCCTCCAAGGACTAGCTGATAAGACAGTTTCTAAACTTGTTTCAGAAAAGTTCTGGGTTCCATTTTTATTCTACACTTGCCAGTCAGCAATGAGAGGTTCATGACAGTGTAGTGGCTGAGGTGGGCTTGCTGCCTGGAGTAGCAACCATTGGTTTACCCCCATTATTGGCTCACCCCCCTTAGTGTAAGGCAAGCACTCACAGCATGTACTCAATAAACACTTGTTAAATGAATGAATGAGTGAACGAATGAATAGATGGGCAAAATTTGCACAGTAGGGATCAATCAGTGCTCTTAGTCAAACAGAAAGCTTTGGGGTAGATCTGCCATCTAATAGCGGCCTGATGAAGGAATGAAGAACTGGTCTGGCATATGCACATTTTTAAAAGGGTAAAATCAAACAAAGTACACATAGTAATGAAGTAGGAAGTAATGAAATAGGATGTTTGTTTCTATTTTTTTAATTAGGAGGCTCTAAAGCTCATGAATGAAGTTCAAGAACATCTGAAAGAGGAAGAAAGGTTATGCCAGGTGTCTTTGACAGATTCCTGGGATGAATGCAAGTCTTGCCTGGAAAGTAACTGCATGAGATTTTATCTAACCTGCCAACCTACCTGGTCATCTATGAAAAATATGGTAAGGGAAAAACAGAGCCCAAGATCTCAGAGTCCTTAAGGTACCTATTTCAGCTTACTGAAGGAAAAAGACAACTTACATTACTATTTAAACTAGAGATGCCTGACCTGATGTTGGGCTTCTGCAATCTAACATTCAGGCTTATATATGATCACCTTATTATTTATAAGTTAGAGCAGTCACTTAGTGTTTATCCCTCCCTTTACTGACACTCCATGTATCTCCTTTAGAAAACCCTGATTCTTTCTGCCTTGTATTTTTTTTTTGTGAATATATTCTCACTGGTGTGTGAGCCCTTTAAGGGCAGAGACCATATCTTGTCTTCATTGTAGGTATCTAATAAATGTCTGCATTCTGAATAATAGTATTTAGTCTCTGATTTCAATCTGCTGTAATATTTTCCTGAAGGTCAAATATTTGAAGACATTCTCTGCCTCCCAAACCTCTCCTTTTGGGAGCTTGCCCTGTTATGGCTGCATGCACAGGGATGCTAACACACACACACACACACACACACACACACACACGCGCGTGCCCCCTTCAGCCCTATCCATGCCTGTTCCAGAGGATTACTATGCTATCATTTTTTTCTCATTTGGCTATCATCTGGGCAGAGGGAATCATAGAGGGTGGTGACCTAAATAGGATCAGCTCTGCCCCATAAAAGACCCTATTCTATTGGCCTGACTTCCCCTTCCCCTTTGAGATGTGAGCTGAACATGAAATGGAGTAAAATTTTCCTCTCCGTATTGGAACATGCAGTAATTAGAGTGTGCTCCTAGCTTGGCAGTGCCTTGCGCAATTATAGCATGAGCAACCCCTAGGATAATTCAGATGCCAAGTTAATTTGCCTCCACTGTTAATTGCATCTGCTCTGTTTTTATAGTCACTGTCACTGTTTAATATCCAGAATGAGCAATGACTAGAAGGAGATTTGAGAAATCAGGAGATTTCTATCTATGCCAGTTGTGTGAGCTTATGAAAATTTCTTGGGGCTTAAAGTATTTTTGTGGATGAATGAATTCAGGTAAACGAATAATTAATATCTTCTATAACATTCAGCACAGACATATCACTCATATAAGGTCAAGTTTGTCCTGGCATAAACTTAAGGGTTTAGATAAAGCAGAGCATGGTGAAACTGTTGGAAATCTTCCACACAGTGGGAAATTCTATAACTAAGCTACTTTCCTCTGACTACAGCAAGGACAGATTTGATTGCTGCTAACATGTAACCATCTCTAAGTAGCCATTTAGCTATATCAGGCATCTATAGTTCAGAGTGGATGTACTGATCTTTTACTTTCTGTGGGCTTATTTATGAGATGAGAAAGAGGGAAGCATAAAGACACTAATGAAATGCCATTGAGGGAAAAAGAAAAAGAATTAAGACAGAGATGAAAGTCAAGAACCTTCTCTACAGTTTTGGGGCTCTCTCTACCTTTTAGATCATGGAATACCAACCATTCCAGCCAGTACATCAGCTGTGGCTTTTCAACAGTACTGAAAATGTAGCCTCTTTAGGCTTGTGGTTGACAAACTCAAACCAGGAGAAATTTCAGATCCTACTTCCACAATCAAAGTTATATAAAAGAGCATTAATAAATTATCATAAAGTGAATTGCCATTCCCAAGCTTGCTCATCATTGTTCTCAATTCAGAATGGCTATTGTGAATTAACTTAAAGTTTATAATAATAGGGCCTCCCTGGTGGCGCAAAGGGTTAAGCCGCAGCCTATGAAGCTAACGAACTCTGCAGCATGAGTTCGTTCCCCAGCCAGGTAGCTACCCACACGGCGCAATAGATCTCTCCTGACTCGCCCGCTGCTCTCTCAGCAGTGTACTTCAGTCAGTCTGCCTGCTCTGTTCCCCACTCTGTCTCTGGTGAATCCTCTCACCCCCCCATACCTCTGGCCTGTACCCCAGTTCTTGTATGCATAAATAAATCTTTAAAAAAATAAAGTTTATAATAATAGCCCAAAAAAGAAAATAAATTCTTATTCCATTTCATCCCTGAACCCACAGGTTGAACAGTTTTTTGGGACGATATATCAATTTCTATGTTCTTTCCAAGAAGATGATGAAAAAGATCTCCCTGACAGTGAAAATTCCACTGAGGAAGATGTACAACTGACCCAAATAGAGAATGTGTTCAACCAACTGGCGGTGGATATGAGAATTCTCTTTAAGAAGAGTTGTAATGTCTTCAAACAGACGCAACAAGACTTTGACCAGGCTTTTCAGTCGTATTTCATGTCTGATACACACTTAATTGAGCCTCACTTTTTCCCTGCTTTATCCAAAGAGCCAATAAAAAAAGCAAATCATGTGCAAAGTTGGGACATTCCCAACTTCTTCCAGCTGTTTTGTAATTTCAGTGTCTCTATTTATCCAAGTGTCAGTGAAACAATTACTGAGATGCTGCATGAAATAGAAGATTTACCAAAACAAGACAAAGGCAAGTATTAAAAGATTATTTTTGCTTAGATGTCTATACTAAAGTCAAGTTCTATTTAGCTTTGGAAATGGTAGATTAAGTCACCATACAACGTATCTGAGAGTGATCTATAAGGATAATCAAAGTTTCAGATCTTAAAAGAAGGTTTGAAATCTGCAAAATACTATTCATCTTCCATCACTGCCAAGAGTTCTGAGGGGCTGTTCTCTCCTTTTATTTATTTATTGTTTTAAGATTTATTTATTTGTTTGTTTGTTTGTTTATACAAGCACCGGGTACAGTCAGACGCGCGGGAGGGTGAGAGAATTCACCAGAGCCAGAGTGGGGAGCAAGGTAGGCAGAAGGACCGAAGTACACTGCTGAGGGGAGCAGCAGGCAGCAGGAGAGGTCTGCGCGCCATGTGGGACCCTCCTCCAGTAGCCGGGGAGCAGCCGGGGATAGAACCAGCGCCGCAGAGGCTGCGGGCAGCTTCACAACCCAGCGCTCAACTGCTGCGCCACCGGGGAGGTCCTGTTCTCTCCTTTTAAAGCAAAACTTTAAAACTGATACAGAAAATACTAGTAGGGTAAGAAATAGAGAAAAGTGTTTGCTTTATGAAAATTCATGTAGATGCTCCATCCTATTCCGCTTGAACATTGTGGAGTTTCTTTGAAGTCAGTCTAGGCTCCTCAGCTCCCTTTGGGGAAGTCCAGTGTGACATGTAATCAGGTCACGTTTAGGCCTTCCACAGCCCCTCTGTGTCAGCTGCAATTTCTTAAATCATAACATTTATGAACAAAACCATAGGAAATTTTCATAGTCCAACCCAAAATAGAATAGAAAATAAAAACAGAAATTTCCACAAAGGAATAGAATTGCTTTCTACTATTCCCACTTGTGACCCATGATAACTCATATTGGAAAAAATATTGCTGCTTTATGTTTTAAAGCAGGAGATACACCTTCTTTGGGCTTCTATGGGTTGGGACACAGAGTCGTTATAGTGGGAGATATGGGCCAAGTGTAGAATCTGGGTTTCTCTGGGTTTCTCTCTTCTGGACCACTATACCATGCTCTCCGTTGACATGAAAACTGAAGTGGACTCCTAAAATCTTTCCATTTATGACAGCATGGATGAGCCTGGAAGCTTTTTTGCTAAGTGAAATAAGCTAGACACTCAAGGACAAATACTACATGATGCCACTTATAGGAAGACTCTATAGTAGTCAAGTTAGAGCAGCAAAGAGTGGACTGGTAGGCACCAGTGGCTGAAGAGTAGAAAATGGTGAGGCCTTGTCCATGGGTACAAAATTTCAGTTATGTGGACTTGGCCTCTGCAGCCCAAGGAGAATATCAGCTTCTGTGCTTCTGCTTTGTCCCTAGGCTTCCAGAGATTTTTCTTAGCTATTTCTTCAAGCTCTGGAGACAAACTCCCTTCTTCATCCCCTGTTCCTGCCAGGGAACCACTTGTTCTGCTGTCAGTATAAGCTGTGTGTAATATGGACATGCATATCCTCCCGCACAGGGGAACACAGTGCTCCAGGCATCCACTAGGAAGCCCTAATCCATTACTCTCTGGCCAAGGTCTCAGCATCCTGGCTGACAGTCTTGATCAACTCCGTTCTGACTCTGGCTGGGTTGCTCTTTCTTTCTTTCTATTTTTTTTTATCAACTTGCTAATAAAGGGCATGTAGTGAAAAATAAGTTTCTGTTGTGCAAGATAAATAAGTGCTAGGGGTCACCTGTCCAACATAGAACCTGCAGTTACAATACTATATTATATACTTTAAAATTTAAGAGGTGTATCTTATGTTAAGCATTCTTGTTATGAAAAAGAAGAATTAGAATAAGACAGAAGGACCCTTTTGGAGGTGATAAATAAGTGGAGTACATTATGGTCATGGTTTCATGGGTGTGTTCTTATCTTCAAACTCACAATTACAGCCTTTTGTATGTAAAGGAAAAATGTGCTACATCTGGCTGATGATTTTCCAATATTTATCAGCTATAGCCGGCAATATTTGAATCTAATTCTCAACATTATCACAACATTGCATAACTGGCCCTTGTATGGGAGGGGCTTACTTCACACATAGAAACTGAAACCAGGAAATAATGGTTTATATCCTTCCTGTCCCATTGTTTCATGGGTGGAGAGCAGCCTTCATTATTGGAATTGTTGCTGGGTCTATTTCAGGATTTGTAGACTTATCTTGTAAGTCAGGGTTTTGGTCTGCTATTCCATTCTGAGGTTCCAAATTCATGAAGTATTAGGAAAAGCATCAGGATAGTAACTTAGATCAATGCTGGAATGATATGGAATAATTTTTATCTGATCCTTTAAACAGATATCAATAGTTTGGGAATATGTTCATAAAAAAAAAAATAAGAGCTCCTCCCTCCTCCCGCCACCTACCCTGTTTCATGTTGTGTAGCAACCTCCACATAGGTTGCTATATTTAATTGTGCACAGAAGTAGTGGTGATTCAGACACACTGATATCTAAACAATCTTCCAACCACTGCTACTCCCTCCCACCCCATCGAAGAAGAATGTGAATTTCAGGTTTCCCCTCACCCACAGGCACCAGGCCCGGCCCCTGCTCTGAGTGGGCTCATGGGCCCCTCTCCAGCTCACTCCCTCTCCCAGATGCTGCATGTCCAGGGTCTCCCGTAAATGTGAAAGTTAAAAACAAAAATGAAACAGTAAACAAAAAACCCTGTGTTATTCCCTTATTCTCTTCTTCCTCCTGCATCCCCATTCTAACAAGATGGTCCACAATAAGATGAACAAAGGAGACACGCTCTTCCCAGATGAGCACATGCGGACTATTTATCAAGAACAGTCACACAGGGGCTGTAGTGTATTTGCAAGTGGTTTCCATCACTTTTCTGGACAGATGGTGTGTGTCCTCGTGGTAGGCAGAATAATATCAACAACTGCCCAAAGATACCATACCCCAGTCCCTGGAACCTGTGAATATGTATGTTGCAGAGCAAAAGGAAATTAAGGTTAGAAGTAGAATTGAGGTTGCTATTTAGCTGAACTTAAAATAGGAAACTTATTCTGAATTACCTGATTGACTCCAGTGTAATCACAAGGGTTCTTAAAGATGGAAGAAGGAAGCAGTAAAGAATCATAAAGATGGCAGTGTGAGAAATATTTGGCCCCACGTTTGCTAACTTGAAGCTAGAGGAAGAAGGCCATGAGCTAAGGAATATAAGTGGCCACTAGAACTGGAAATGGATTTTCCTCTAGAGTCTCCAGAAAATACAGCCCTGCTGTAGGACAGATGATGATTGGTCAGGCTTTTACGCCACTGGCCTCTGTGGCTATCACCTGTGGCCTTGACTACGTGAATGTAGAAGGTGCTTGGGAGCATGGGCTCGGGTTATGCATGCCTGATAGTGTGGGCATGTGTGAGTGGGCACACCTGCGCCTGGAGGCTGAGGCTATAAGAGTGGCATCACTTGGACAGGAAAATAGCTACAAGAGGAGGAGTGACTATGGAGAGGCAGGACCATGAGACAACACCATAAAGAGAACAAGGAGTAAAGATTTGCCAGGGACTGGGAGGCCCTGCCTTTTCAGCCTGCGGGCGTGTCCCACAACAAATGGTATAGAAAGAGCATTAGAGCCTGAAAGAGCCACTGAGGGCTCCAGAACTCTCCTTTGCCAGTCTGCCTGAATCGATAAGAGAATCTGTCCTGTGTCTTGCTGGCACAACACCTGCTAGCACCTTCATTTTAGCCCAATAAGAGTCATTTTAGTCTTCTAACCTACAAAACTAGAAGATATTCTGTGTTATTCCAAGGCCCTAAATTTGTGGTGATTGGTTATGGTAGCAATAAACTAATATATACTTCTTGTCAATCACACTGTTCAACAGTGACTGAATAAATAATACTGTTACCATGTTCCTGAATGGATTTGTCAAGTTCATCCTAAAAGCCAAACTTAGAAAAATAGCTAAAACTGAATAATAAGCACCATTAAAGAGAGGTGATAACAAAACCTGAAATATCTTATTCAACATTTTTTATTTTATTAAAAGTGGTTTCATCCTAGTCTCCAAATGGAAGGATTTCTTTCCTGCTTTGTTTTTCTAGACCTCAGTTCCTCAGTCTGTTGAAAGAGACTATAAAGCTCTTAAAATTGTCTCCACTTGCCTTATAAGTCCTTGGGAAGAATAGATGAGATCACGTTCAGTAAAACTGTGTGATGTTTTAGTAGCTTGGTGCTGGGACCCCGGAGATCTGGATTCTAATTTACCTTAGAGAGTGTTTACTGACTTTAATTTTCCCATGAGGGTTGTAGCGGCAGGATGGGCACAGAGCAGTTTTCTGTGACCCGAGCAGACGGGGTAAGGAGGAGTCCTAGGAGCCCTTGGTGGCTTTTGCAGACTTTTACTGGAATTTTACCGGGTACACAGCATGCGGGGTGTGGGGCGGGGGGAGAGAGGAGAGGCTGGCAGGTTTCCCAGCCCCCGGCAAGTCTTCACTTTTCCTGGGCCCTCCGGCGTTCTTTCGTGGCCTCTGCTTCTCTGCTCCTTTCGCTCTTTGTAGTGGTTCTGCTCTGCTCTCTTCTGCCATTCTGTTCTCTTTTGCTCCTTCGCTCTGCTGGCATCTGCATGACACTGCCCTTATAAGCCCAGTCTTAGGCAAGGTGTGTCCCCCTACATAGGCCAACACCCTACTCCAGGTGTCTGCCATCAGGCATGCATTCAGGACCACAAGGTTCCATCAATAATCTTAATGGTGGGAGGGCAGAAAAGCCTGATACTTTACTTACCCTACAAAGGTAAACAGAGGCACAGCGAGAGAGTAGATGATTCATATCAGCACTGGTGTCTGAAGTAGCAGCCTGGGAGCATCCCGAGGCTCTAACATGGTGTGACTAATGGGAGGTAGTGGGCTACTGGGGAGTTGGTGTCACGTGGACCAATTCCATGTGATGTAATTTTCCAAGTGATTAGGCAGTTTACTATCCCTAATCTATAGACTAGGCATTCATGCAGCCGCTGGGAATAAAGATGATGATTATGACACAGTCTCTAACTTTCAGGAGTTTAGTCTAATGAAAGGAAAATAAATTGGTTGACATTTATATTATCAGTAAGTGAAATGATAGAAGGAACAGAAGCAATGGCAAGATTAAAGTGATAAGACTAAAAAAATTACAGTGATAAGACCAAGTCCATTCCCTCAAGGGACTCAAAGTCTAATGAGGAAGATAAATAAGTAAACAGGAAACAGGAAAACAGACACAAATTCTACAGCTGAATTCTGAACGGGGTGATCATAGGTTTTTAAACAATGGACTTCACAATTTATCCCAAAATGAAATGTTTCATTTTTAAATGTTGAGGATTTAATATATATCAGAATATCATCAGTTATAAGTTAATAATAAATTTTTCCTAATGTAAAATACTTAATTGTGAACTGTCATTTTTCTCTTGGATAAAATTCTTTTTACATTATCCTTTTGAGACACAGGGCAAGCTAGGGTTATTAGGCAGTTTTAGGGACAGTGCAGGAGGGGACCTCTGAAGAATTTAGGGAGGCTTCAGAGATAAGGACAACCAAGGGAATGTAACCAATTCCACTGGAAAAAACAAACATCCTAGGACCAGGACAATATTGTTAAGGATGGTCCTGGTTTTCTTCAGGTGATAAGATAAAGTGTAGAGATGCTCACCTGGAGGACTAGACCATAAAGATAAAGCGATAAGCATAACAAATGGGGAAAGAAAAAACTGTTAGATAAGGAATGTGAACTTCCCCCACTTAATACCCTCTGGGAGTTAGCCAATCAGGAGGAGAGACTGAAATTTTAACATAATGAGAGAGAGAAAGTATATATTCCTAAAGTAATATCCCGTACCAGCTCATCTCGGCCCCTCCCAGGTACCTTATACCTGGGAGTCTTTCTTCTTTGTCTCTTTTCTTCCTAAATAAAACTCTTCTTTCAAAGACAAAATTTGTCTCTCTCTGCTTACTTACTCCAAAAAGTCTGTGAATTCCTTTCTACGGTTTTGCGACAAGAACTCGTGGTAAAGCAGCAGCAGTTGTTACACACGCCGGCATCACTTTTTATGTGGATTCTTAATTCTTCTAGAATGGTTTATCAAAAGTTGATCTATTTTTGGGCCTCCCTGGTGGCACAAGGGGTTAAGTCTCAGCACTGTGAAGTTATTGGCAGCCACTACAGCATGAGTTCGATCCCTGGCCAGGGAGTTACCCACATGGCGCAGCAGACCTCTCCTGTCTGGCCTGCTGCTTCCCTCAGCAGTGTATTTCAGTCAATCTGCCTGTTCTGCTCCCCACTGTCTCTGGTGACTCTTCTCCCCTTTTTGGACTACACCCCAGCTGTTGTATGCACAAATATATTATTTTTTTTAAAAAAAAGTTGATCTATTTTTGCTGTCTAACCAGCTAAAGTCATTAGCTAAATCTTTAATGACTGTTCATAACATATGTTTAATGAAATGCCTAAAGAACAGCAATAAAGTAAATAGCTACCACCCAATTTAAGAAACAGATGTTTCCACTATCTTTAGAATTCCACTGTACTTCCCAATTATCGCTTTTTAAAATTAAAATATTAGAAATTTTTTGATAGAGAGAAGTCCAAAGAAAAAAGCAATTTATGATCCCTTATTTAGTTAACCGCATTGACATTGGAGATAATAATGACAAAATGAGACACACTAAAATAATTCAAACATACAAAGACCAAAATAAATGAAGCTTCCCTTTCCTATCTCCATCAAGTCTCTATGTCAGTCTTTCTTCCAAAAGATAGTTACTATTAGAGACTTCTCATGATTCCTTCCAGAGAATAAAATTATATGCATTAATTTATACTAATAATGATGGTTAATAATAGTAATAAGAGGGCTAGATGAAGGACCTATGTAATATTTATTAGATGTCGAATTGTCCTAGCAAATAGTTGCATCAACATGCACTCCTATTGAACACAGGAAGGAGATTTTGAATGCACTGGTAAAAAAAAAAAAATATTGTATCCACTCTAAACTGCAGGCTCTAATGACACTGATGTGTAAATGCTGTGTTACCTGTAGACTCCAACCACCCAAGCCTGCGTTCAGAGATACTGTTGTAGAGCAACCCCGATACAAAACGGGGTGCCTGACTGTGGGTCCTCACCCGCGCGCTTAAAAGGAATTATCAATGCTCTACTGCAGGCACACGTGAAAGGTTAATAAAAGGTTTATTTACAAGGGAAAGGGAAATGAGGAAATGTACAGCTCTGGGAGAAAAGTGGGAGACAAAGTTTTAAATGAGTCCTACCTGATCCGCCGATCAGGAATCCCAAAATGGCACTCTCAGAGTTGGCCGCCAGCCAGGAGAGGTGAAGCCAGGAGGCGAGCGATCGCGAGCCAGAGAGACCCCAAGGCCCACGTGTTTGGTTTTTATATCCAGCCTGGCTACCCAACTCCACCCTCAGGTCCCAGCCACCCTCCCTTGGTGGTGATGGGATTTGTCTTTCCCAATGTCTTGATGGCTTTAGTCTGGAGTAGGGGTGGGTCCACAAAGCCTGTATGGGATTAACTCAGGACATCATTTCCCCCTAACAATACCACCAGTACAGGACAGAGAACTGTGTGAAGAAATTCACCAGAATTTGTCGGAATGTTTCCAATTTCATGCAAGATGCCAAAAATGTCAGGATTACCTACAGGAAGGTAAATAATTATTTTCTCAGGGTTTCAATAGCACTGTGGTCAAAGATTCAAAAATCTCACTTTTATAAGAATTGTGGATTCGTTTGCTTTCCTTTAAGCCCTCCTTGCGTGCTCTTGTCCATTTGGGGGTAATCAGTGCAGATTTATAAACTTTTTTATTGTTTTTAATTGGCATATGGCACTATATTTGTTTCAGATGTATGGCATAAATATTTGTGGATGTTGTGAAATGGTTACCACCGTAAGTCCAGTCAATGTCCATTACATATAAGCTACCAGGTTTTTTCTTAAGACAACTTTAAATATCTATTCACTTAGCAACTTTCAAATATGAAGGAGTATTATTAACTATAGTCATCATGCTGTGCGTTATATCCCCTGGGCTTATTTATCTTATAACCCCTTCACTCACTTCACTTATCCCCACTTCTAGCAACCACCAGTGCGTTTTCTATATCTCTGAGCTTGTTGTTTGTTTTGTTTTCAGATTCTACATATAAATGAGATTATGTGGTATTTGTCTTTCTCTCTCTGATTCTTAGTACAATTTCTTCAAGGTACACCCATGTTGCCACAAATGGCAAGATTTCCTTCTTTTTCATGGCTGAGTAATTATCAGCAAAGCTATACAAGTTCTGGGCCTTCCTGGTAGCGCAAGGGGTTAAGATGCAATCTATGAGGCTATCCACAGCCACTACAGCATGAGTTCCATCCCCAGCCAGGGAGCTAACCACACAGCGCAGCAGACCTCTCCTGTCTCACCTGCTGCTCCCCTCAGCAGTGTATTTCAGTCAATCTGCCTTTTCTGTTCCCCATTCTGTCTCTGGTAAATCCTCTCACCGACCCCCCCCCCCCCGCCCCACCTCTGGCCTATACTCCAGTTCTTGTATGCATAAATAAGTATATCTTTTTTTTAAAAAAATGCTATACAAGTTCCAATAACCCTGTTTCAGTTCACATGGCTTGTTGTGTAGCAACAAAGAGCTGCAGAATCTAGTGGTTTGTGAGCACAAAGCTTTATTTTTCATTCTACTATGTCTCAGTTACAGCTGAGTGATAGCTCTGCTACATAGCTCTTCATTTAGACAAAGCTTGCACCATATGGAGTGAAACCACTCCCATTGTCAGGGGGGAGAAATCGTGATAAATCCTAAGAGTTTTTAAAGCCTTCCTCCAGAAGTGAGATACAGGTCACTTTGAAGATGACCATGTTTGATTTTAAGTTGGAAAGGAAGCACAATCCCCCATGAATCCTGAATGAGGAGAATCAGAATAACAAGAGCTTTGAAGACCTTTAGAAACAGTACGAAAGAAGAAAAAGAAACATCTGCTACATCTGTAATTCGTGGCAGCCCTGTGAAGAGACGCTTTAAAACGTTATTTCATTCATGTCTATTTTCCCTAGTTGAAAACTTATTCAAGGGGAAAGGGTGGAAAAAGAAAGTATAAGGGGTAGAACACAAACCCATAGCACCCAGCTCCAAATTTCACAAAACTTTTCCTTTACCATGTTACTTTTTTTTTTTTTTGTTAGAATGTCCTGACCTACCTGAACTACATATCAAGGAAGACGAGGCCCTTAAATTGGTCAATGTATCCAATCAGCAATATGCCCAGATTCTCCAGATGACCCAGCATCACTTGGATGACACCAAATACCTGACGGAGAAGAGGAGAGAGCAGTGTGGGTGGGTAGCTGAACTGGCAAAGCAGAGTCCAGGAATGGAGAATATCTTCAAGTCAGCAAAGGTAATGGAGAGACCCATGAACAGTGTAAGGCCAGGAAGACCACAGAGCAGGTTTTCTAGGATCCAGCAGACCGGGTAAAGGAGGAGTCAGATTTCTCAGTGGCTTTTGCAGGTTTTTTATTTAGATTACCAGGTACATGGCAGGCAGGGGCGCTGGGGGGTCGGTAGGCTGGCAGGCCTCCCAGCCCCCAGCAGGTCTTCACTCTGGGCTCTCCGGCCTTCTCTCGGCTTCTGCTGCTCTTGCTTCTCTCTCGGCTTCTGTTTTGGCTTCTGCTGGCGTCCCCGTGACGCCGCCCTTAAAAGCCCAGTCTTACCCGAGGTGAATCCCATCTACCTATGCCCACACCCTACTCCCGGTGTCCGCCATCAGGCATGCATTCAGGACTGCAAGGATCCATCATTTATCCTGATGGCAGGATGGCAGAAAAGCCTGACATTTTTCCTTACCCTACAAACAGATAAGGAGTTTGCATGCACCCACACTGTTCAGTCACTTAGAAATTATACCTGAATTTGAAACAACCTGTGCAAGGATGTTCATGTTTCTGTTGTGATTGTATTCAGTCTCACTTGATTAAATGCAGTGCACCATCTTCAGAAAACAAGAAACTCTGGAGGACTATGGGTGATTTGGTGGCGCATGTGCTAAGATGACATGAGGGGGGGCTCCTATACTACCAAATCACATATATAAACAGTGGTACGTCAATTTTAAGAAAGTTATTCATTACAGTAAGCTTTCAAATTAATAACAAAAAAAAAAGAAAATCTCTAAAGAAAACCAAGCTGACGCCCATCCTTTCTTAGCTTTTTTCTTTTCTTCATCTTGCTTTCCTCAGCCCCTGAAAAGTTTCACCTGAAGGCACTATTTTTTTTTAAGATTTATTTATTTATTTATACAAGCAGTGGGTACAGTCAGAAGTGTGGGAGGGTGAGAGAATTCACCAGAGCCAGAGCAGGATGCAGAACAGGCAGAATGACGAAGTACACTGCTGAGGGGAGCAGCGGGCGCGGCAGGAGAGGTCTGTGCGCCATGTGGGAGCTTTGCCGGCAGCTGGGGATCGAACCAGGGCTGCAGAGGCTGCGGGCAGCTTTGTAGCCCAGCGCTCAAGAGCTGCGCCACCGGGGAGGCCCCCTGAAGGCACTCTTAATAAATCTTGATTTAGACTCTGCATCTGGAGATTCAAACCTAGTCTTTCACTCTCTTTCCAACTACAAAGTTTTGGCCCATGGCTGCTTTGAGAAATAGGTTAGAGTCACAACCAGCTCATTAAAAAATAAAAAACAAATAGACAAACAACAAACAAAAATTACTATAGAGTGTGCTTCACTTAATAAGTCACATGCATATGTCGTCGAACTTCTATTCCCACTTTGTGTTTATGTTTATGTGTATACATGCACGTAGGTACATTTGTTTTTGAATCATAATATAAAATGTATTTGTAACTGTGCAGAAGTCAAAAGATTTTGAAAGTTGTTCTCCAACCTTTGCTGACTCTGATTCTGTTATTCTGTTAGATCATACCTTAAACAGGTAAAATAATTCAATGTATTTGATCATCCACACTAATATAGACTTTTAGTTTAGTGAGGAAAAATTATCTTGAATAAAATTTTAAGAAACATTTTAGCAGCATTTTCAATCTTTAGAAAGGTACAATCAACGTTTGTTTTTGTTGTTTGATATTTTCCATTCTGTGCTTCAATTTGCTTCCATTTTATTATTTATGAGTAACACGAGCAGATTTATCTAAAATTCTTTATATTGATAACAAAGGTGCTTCTGTATAAAAACCTCCATATATAATAATGGTTTCCATTATACATTTTTCTAACAATAATAAAAAGAGAGCACCATGTTTTAAGATGATTTAATACCCTCAATGATTACATAAGGCAAATATTATTTCCAAAATTTTCAGATGAGGCATAGAAAAGTTAAACATCTTGTCTGAGGTCACACAGCTAGTAGGTGGCAGAACTAGAATTTAAACTCAAGCAGTGTTTCTCCAGAATCAGTGGACTTAACCACTTGGCTAACCTCCCCATAATGTCACTTTTTCCAAACCAACTCTTATTTCATTATGAAATGAAAATGAAAATCCATAAAATGGCAAATATTAAAAAGGAAGCTTGTGTTAAAAAATATAAATAAAAATTCTAGCAGGTGAACAAAGTTATTCTCAGTGGGTTGTTGTTACGTGGGTGTTAGCTTTATAATTATCTATTAAAGCAGATGTAAATGCTTTATACAGTTTTTATGTGTGTTACAGTCACCAAAAGGAAAAGGGGGAAAGTTATATTAGCCATTCCTTTATAAATTAGAATAAAGAAATTGCCAGTTTTTATTTGGCTGCCTAATATTTTCCTTTAATTTTTTTCATTAAAGGAATTTATATGAATCATTTTCAAAATAATTCTCTTAAGGTTACATCAAGTTGCATGTCAGTACTGTCTCATTCAAATTATTAAAGTGTATAGACATGAGAATTCATTAAGAAAAGAACTGATGTGTATTTTAGATGAATGGTTCTTATAAAATTCACACATATAACCATCAATTATAAATTTATGGTTTATCACTTTAATATTGTGGCACAGAGGAGTGCTCACCAAATACTCCAGGGGCTCACTCACATTTTCCAGAAGTTAAGTGCCACCATGTAACAAGTTCTACCCAATGCAATGTGAACAGAATTGAATAATTATTTTTAGACTGAGACAGTGAAGTGTGGCTACCCATTCTGTTTTCTGTGCCAAAGGCTCAAAGCCATATGTTCCATATGCTACCTGAGGTTTAGGGTGCAAGATTAAAGGAATTACTCAAGTCAGTTAGGGACAGAGTCAGAATGTTAACTCAGTTCTGATTCTTAATTATCACATTATACTACTTCCTGTTAGGATATTTGATCAAAAACAAAGCTAGGTACATAAATCTATATATGTAATGATCAAAACAAAGAGTTTAAAATCTGCATTAAAAACAAAAAGGAGGGCCTCCCTGGTGGTGCAAAGGGTTAAGCACAGCACTTTGAAGCAATCCGCAGCCTCTGCAGCACGAGTTCTATCCTGGGCCAGCCAGGGAACAGCCCACATGGTGCAGCAGACCTCTCCTGGCCCACCTGCTGCTGCCCTCAGCAGTGTACTTCAGTCAATCTGCCTGTTCTGTTACCCACTCTGTCTCTGGTGAATCCTCTCACTCCCCTCCCCTCGCCCTGCATCTCTGGCCTGTACCCCAGCTCTTGTATGCATAAATAAATAAATATTTAAAAAAAAAAAGGATTGGCATAATATAATGGGAATATGGATGCTTTTAAAAATTTTTGTTTGGATTTTTCTCAAAATTTTCAGTAGTGGATACATAAATTTTAAGGATTTCTCATTAGAAGAATATTTTGCTAAAATAGTCGGTTAAAGTAAATTGAGCACTATACAGTATACAATACATCTTTAAATTTTAGTATATGTAATTCCATTCCAAGATTATCCTTACACTGAAATAAAATGTAAATCTACTAAATCTGTAGGGAAAGAGACTGAACGATCTTTTGGGAGTACATCAGTCACTCTCTCAAACTTAGGATGTTTCTTCTGAAATAGTGGCACAGCTAAATCTATACGTAATATTCTCATTGGGGAACCTGATCAATCTTAAAGAACAATTAAACTTTAATTCTAAGTTCTCATTCAGAAGGGACCTTATTAGTAGGTCACCATCAATGTATAATTAAGCAGACTGGATTTGCTGCCTTTCCCTTTCCCTTTGAGTTTTGGAGATCTTTTCGTTCAGCTCTATCAGTAAACCCCCCTTTTTTTTTTTTTTAGTATACTCTATGAGAGCTCTCTTTTATGGAAAATACAAGATGTTTTTGACTGACCCTAATCTCATAATTGGACCTTGCCACAATACAAAAATAGGCAAGCTCTTTGGTAGTATAGCACTAAGGATTACATCTGGAATAGATTTTTAGCCAGTCTTTCAAATTATAAAAAGAAATATTGCGAAAGAGAGGACTCAAACCTTTAAAGCATTTTTCATCCTGTCTTGAGTTATTTAAAGAAAGGTTTGTCAGAGAAATTCAGAATTCCCGAGACAGCCAATTGACTACTACAATTCCAAATGAAGATAAAGCCTTTCCTATCGTAACCAAGGTTTATTAAAAATTTGGATACTATTGATAGAATACTGCATTCCTCAATGTACAATAAATCTCAAATAGTCTATTCCATCATATATTTGATACATATCAGAGAAGTTGCCAAAAAATAAGTTATAAAGGGAAATTTGTCTGTTCTGCTCCTTGCTGACCAATGACAGGCACTGTGATAAAAATGCTTGTTGAATGAGTAAATGAATAAATGAATGATATGCTTGTCCAAGAGCATCATCATTCTAATTTGCTTTTATGGAACAGCCACCAGCAAAGGAACCATTCTCTTTCTACCTCAGTAAAAGAGGAATTTCTACGTGGTCAGGGAAGCCTACTCTTGTCTTGGTTTTATCTTGTAGTACCACTGATATTCAACCAGAACAATTAAACTTGGCTCACAATAACAAAGGGAAAATTCCTCACATGTAGCAACTGGGTAATCAGGCATATTTTCAGCCTGGGATTCTTTCCACGGTTGGAGATGTGTGGAGACACTTTTTGGTTAGGTGTGGGGTTTGGAGAATATCTACATTTAATTGGCTTTCCATAGGTATGCTAAATCCCTGCAATATGCAGAACAATCCCACTCAGTGAAGAACAGCCCCACCCAAAACAGCTGAAAAGCCTGGAGAGAGACTCTCCAGCTCCTGGCCCACGTAGAATGGTTCCTCCACCAGGCATTTTAGCTTCGTACATCTAGGAGCACTCAAGCTAGTCCAGATGAGTGCCGCAGTCCTGCCTAAAGCATTTCTGAGTTCAGGTTTTCTGACCCAGCACCATTCTCGTTCCAAATTGCCATCAAAAAGAATGACAGCCCACAGCCATCTACCCAACCTCCAAATCATAGCACAACACTAGAGAATAATTATTCCCAAAGGAGACACAGATTGTGTTTTAAAACTATTGTTACAATGATGTAAAAAATAATTTTTTTAAAAAGATATGTATATATCAATAAATTTTAAAACCTCAAAAAATTAAGAAAAAATAAAACTATTGTTACCCTGGTATGGGAGTGGACCAAGGAAGTTGCTAGGGGAGGGGAAGAAGCTACTTGACCTAAGAAAAGTTAGTTTAGTGTTGTGATGGATTAAGGAGATTTAGGATGTGTGTTATCCTGTAACACAGTGCATTTCAGTCACCACTATAAAAAGGGCTTTGTGAATGAAGGAGGACAAGAAGAAAGACTGGAAAGGAGGTACCCCAAGACCAGAACCTGACTTACACAAGGAGGTGGGGATAGAGGGAAATAACATGACCAGTAACCCAGATGTAGAGGCCGGGGCCCTTAAGCACCAGAGCCTTATCACAAGGCATAAGACCTGAGCAGGATCAGACTGCTCTAGGGAGTGGAGCACAGACCTGAGAGTGAAGATATGGAGATTGGGCCCATTCTGGAATCTCTGTTCTCTTTCTAGTTTTGCCTAGTTATCCAACATCAGCAACAAACAGGCCACTCTATGGAGGAGTGAGCCCTCCCAAAGAGCCAGTGCAGTCTCTGCACTGGCTTGGGGCAGCACTCCCTCTGCCCACCTGTGACTATGCAGGGGCTTCTTTTCACCAACCCTCTCCTTCTGCAGGGCAGCAGCTTCCTGCCTGCCTGTGACCTGTACCTGCCAGGACTTCTCTTCACTGACCTCCCTCAGTGGAGGCCGCTCTCCTCAAGGCTGCCCGCCTGCAACCATGCAGGCCTCTCTCAACAAACCTGTCCCTTTCGGGGCAGCTCATCCTGCCCGCTTGTGTCTATGCAAGTGTCCTTTATTCTTCTGTCCCTTTCCCTAATAAACCTGTTCTTTAAATATAACTAATGTCTCTGTCTCATGAAGAAACTTGCCTGGGGAATCTCGCCCCGTGTCACTAAAACGGGAGTTCTGGTGAAACTTTTCCCAGAGCGAACCCAGGGACCCCGCACTCCAAACCCACTGACTCCAAAAATGACATCAGTGAACACTCAGTACAACCAGAGAGCAAATACATCGACTTTCCAACCATGGTGATTGTGAAATGGTCCCGGAAAAAATTCCTTAGTCTGTTCTTAATGGTTCCCCCCTTCAATTAATCGAAATGTCCAGCTAGTTCATCAATTCTCTTTGGAGTTCGATTTATTTGGTATAGGCTTGGTGGTGGCACATAAAGGCATATTACTTTTTTTTTTTTTAAGCTTTATCTATTTATTTATTTATTTATTTATACAAGCACTGAGTATAGTCAGAAGCACAGGAGGGTGAGAGAATTCACCAGAGCCAGAGTGGGGAATTATACAGGCAGATTGACGAAGTACACTGCTGAGGGGAGCAGCAGGGGACAGGAGAGGTCTGTAAGCCATGTGGGACCCTCGCCTAGCGGCGGGGATCCAACCGGACCTGCAGAGGCTGCGGGCAGCTTCGCAACCCAGCACTCAACCGCTGCGCCCCCGGGGAGGCCCATATTACATTATTTTTAAAAGGATTTGTTTCTTTTTTTTTCTTATAGAGGCATGTTTTATTTATTTATTTGTTTGTTTTGTTTATACATGCACTGGGTACAGTCAGAAGAGCGGGAGGGTGAGAGAATTCACCAGAGCCAGAGCAGGGAGCAGAGCAGGCAGAAGGACCGAAGTACACTGATGAGGGGCGCAGCGGGCGGCAGGAGAGGTCTGCGCGCCATGTGGGACCCTCCTCTGGTGGCCGGGGAGCAGCAGGGGATCGAACCGGCGCCGCAGAGGCCACGGGCAGCTTCGCAACCCAGCGCTCAACCGCTGCGCCACCGGGGAGGCCCTAAAAGGATTTGTTTATTTATGCATATAAGAGGTGGGGTACAGGCCAGGGATGTGGTGGGGGGTGGGTGAGAGGATTCACTGGAGACAGAGCAGGGAACATAATGGGTAGACTGAAATACACTGCTGAGGGGAGCAGCAGGCAAGTCAGGAGAAGTCTGCTGTGCCATGTGGATCCCTGGCTGGCTGGGGATGGAACTTGTGCTGCAGAGGTTGCAGATTGCTTCATAGAGTGGTGCTTAACCCCTTGCGCCACCAGGGAGGCCCATATTATATTGTTTTTGCTGAGCAGATTAGGTAGATCTGCAGATTACATAGAGCTGCAGATGTAAATATTTACCTCTTCCCAGATTCCTGTTTCACTGCTACAAAAATTTTAACCTTTCCTTTGAAATGTGCACTTTAGCAGAAGATTCCAGAATCTTGCAGACAATAGACCTGAGATGACCAGAAAAAAACTTACAAATGTTATTGAACAGAAGAAAGTGTGTGATATTTTCATCAGAGCTCCTATCTCCCAGACACAAAACCAAAAATTTTAAGCATCCACTATGTGCTCAACAGTGTTTGATGAAAGACTATTTGTTCCACCTACACACATATGTTATCTCATTTTAAACTCACTATCGGATGGCTCCTACCCACTTGTGTTTATATTATATACATTTCACTAAAATTGAAATTTTTGATAGAAAATACTTTAAAATGTCTGCCTATCATTAATCAAGTAAAAAAGTTTCCCTTATTACACTTGCTCCAGGCACCAACATTGAGGATGGAGGGACTGCAAAAACAGGTAGCATACCCACCTCTGTTGTAGGAAACAACTCAAATAACTAGGCTTTGTTTACTTTGGGTTTTGAACACGTGGGGCTTGCTCCCTGGTCCCCTTGATTAAAGGATAGAGTGGTGGACCTCAAAACTTGCCAGGGTGGCCTTTCTCAGCCAATGCAGGAAATACAGGTTTTAGTTCTTTAATATTTTATTTTATATAATTCTTACATCATTTTTCATTTTTGCACAATGTATGCATTTTCATTTTGGTTATATTCCCCATACAATTGCACCCCTCCCTTATTTTGACCCTAATCCTTCTTCTCCCCCACACCCCCAGTGTGTCTCTGGTTTATAGTTGCTTGTTGATTTTGATTTTTAAACTTTGTATTGATTAGTCTTTTTCCTGGTCCCTTACTTAAGTTTTCTAGATTCCTGCTACGAGTGAGACCATCCGGTATTTTTCTTTTTCTTTCTGGCTTATTTCGCTGAGCATGATCCCTTCCAGCGCCATCCATGTTGCTGCAAATTGCATGTGTTTATCTTTTTTGAATGCTGAGTAATATTCCATGGTGTATATGTACCACATCTGCTTGATCCAGTCATCTATTTTTGGGCATTTGGGTTGTTTCCAGGTTTTAGTTCTTTCCCGGCCAAAGGTCCTAAACTTTTAACACCGCCACAAAACGACGCGATTCCGCGAACTTCCGATTCCCGGGGCCGCGAGCGCGTCGCCCCGCGCACCTGGGGCTCGAGGGGGCGGGGGCCGGCGCGCTCCGGGCAGCACCTGCGCCGCGGAGCAGGAAGAGGCGGAGTCAGGGCGCGACGGCGGGAAAAAAGGCTCCCGGAAAGAATCCCGCCCTCTTTCCCGCCCTCTTCCCCGCCCGGCCGACTCCCGCGCGGTTCCCCGGCGGTTCCCTGGCGGCCCCGCAGCCGCGCCCCGGCCATGCCCGCCGCCGACTCCGAGGTGCCGCGCCGGGCGGCGCCGCCCCCCGCGCAGGAGCGGGGCGCCGAGCCTCCGCCGACGCGCCACGGGGAGCTGCAGTACCTGGGGCAGGTGGAGCACATCCTCCGCTGCGGTTTCAGGAAGGAGGACCGCACGGGCACCGGCACCCTGTCGGTGTTCGGCCTGCAGGCGCGCTACAGCCTGAGAGGTGACCGCGGCCGGGGGCGGGCGGGAGACGGCACCCGGCGGCGACCCCGAGTCCCGCCCTCCGTGCTGCGGCGTGGGAGGCGCAGCCTCGTCCGCCTTCCACACACGCAGACGCCCAGACTCAGTTTGACCCAGGATTTGCGAGGGCCACGTAAGCGCGAGTGACAGCTGGGACGTGGAGCCGCGCTGGGCCTCCCGACCCCAGGGTGTGCTCTGCAGCGCTCGCTTCTGCTGTCGCCTCCTGGTCTGGGAATGTTTGCCCCAGGCTGGAGTGCGCGGGGGTCGGCCTGGCCTGGCCTTGTCCAAAGGCTTGGCTAGAGGTCCCTCTTCTGCCCCTCTTCATGCTTCCCTGGTTTGGGTCGTTCCGCTCTGCAAGTTTTTTTTTTTTTTTTAATAGAGGCATGTTTTTTATTTATTTGTTTGTTTGTTTGTTTTGTTTATACATGCTCTGGGTACAGTCAGAAGCGCGGGAGGGTGAGAGAATTCACCAGGGAGGCCCTCTGCAAGTTTTTTAAAAACTGAAGCTAGGATTATATGGGCCGGGCAATGGCGCAAAGAGGATGAAAGCTGAGTTGAGAGACTTTGGCGGGAACTTGTGCTTTCAGTTGCCCCATTCTGCCCGCGGGCTGCGGTGGTTGGTCTCCTGTGACAGCTTAGGGCGCTTCATCTGAGCAGAGGGGCCACCTTCCTGTAGCTCCAGGTGCAGTGGCCGCAGAGAACCACAGTTCTAGTTTTTAATACAGCCCCTCTGCTGAGACTAGGGCGAGTTACTTAACTCAAAAAATTCATATCCCATATGCTCAAAATGAAGGAAATACTGTTCAGCAGACAATACTGATAAAGCTAGGTGCTTGCAAAATCTATCCTTGTTACATGACTGTCAACTATACATCTAATAATGGGAACTGAATGATTACAAATTTAGAGATAAGCTTTTACATTTTTATTTTGCTATTGCTTCACACGAACTTCTGTATTACCTTCCTGTGCCTGTAAAATAGAGATCAGAATGGTACCTCCAGAAGGGTGTTTTTCAGGGTTAAGTAGGATCATGCATATAAGGTGTTTAAAGTCACTATTTTTTGGTACATTAAAAAAAAAGAGGTTAATTGACTTTGCAAGTATTTTACATACTATTTTTCTTTTTTGGCCAATATGCTATCTGCTAGCCTCTAGTCCGAGCATGTTTTCCCTAGCTGAAAAATCATGGAATAGTCCTGGGATCCCTCAGCCTTTGTCCAAGTGAATGTTGTCTTCATACCTCTATGGAGGCTTCACACAAACTAAGCAGTGGGTGGTAGCTCTGTCTCCGCCTATATGGCCTCTCTGCCTTGTCCCCACCCTTTCTCTCTGGAATTCCTGTGTCCCATGGTTTAGCTGCTCAGGAGGGCAGACTTAAGTCTAAGCGGTGTCACTGACATGCCCTGCAGCCCATGACTCCACCCATGGGGCAGGAGTCACAGTTTCCAGTTATTTCTGTGGTTGCTGGAGGGCTTGTGTCCCTGGACAGTTTTCTTCTACTGAGAAAGCTGGAGGGTGTGTTCCATTTTCCTGTCTCCAACTTATGGCAAATTGTTTTTCAGATGAATTTCCTCTGCTGACAACCAAACGTGTTTTCTGGAAAGGTGTTTTGGAAGAGCTGTTGTGGTTTATCAAGGTAAAGAAATTGCTGATGATGGAAGTAGGCATCTGTTTTTAACATAGTGCCAATGAGGTCCTTTAAAGTCAGATCATGTCACACTGCAACTGAAAGGCTTTACTGGTCCCATTTCACATGGTCAGAGTGAGGCACTCACTGGGTCCCCTGGTCCAGTTCTGGCCTCGTTGCTAATCTTTGAGCCAATGACAAGCCTATACATCCCTACCTAGAACTCTGGAACTTCACATTACTGCTCCCAGAATCCTATTTCCTCACATATAGCAAGACTCCCTTATCTGCCTCATCTCTGCCCAATGACCCAGTGTGATCTAAGACTATGATCACCCACCCACACTCTCCTCCCACCTCACCTTTGTTATCTCTATGGAGAACCATCATCTGATGTATAATGTCTGCCAATAAATAGATAAGTAAAATGTATTGTAAGCTCCATGAAGATGGAGAACTTTATCCTTTTGTTCACTGTTGTACCCTAGGGCCTGCCACATAGTAGGTACTCACATACATGGATCACAGAATATAAAACCCAGCCATGTTCCTGTGTTATAAGTGAGAAGGGTCTCTAGTAACAGGCTATACTTTCAAAGAATGGAGTAGGTGCCTAGGGAGACTGGAGTGTGTTGGAGTCTGGCAGCAACCGCGCCTGAGCCTCTCCTCGCTGCACTCCTGGTTCTTACCAGTGATACTCTGGCTGGTGCTGGTCAGAATGTGAAGAGATAGGCTCTATTCTGTGCCAGGCTAGAAGGGAGAATCCCTTCCTCAGAGCAGTTGCTGTGTCTTGAGTGGTTTTTGGCCAAACCATACCTAAGCTGCCTAATCCCTTTTTAGATAGGGTTTAGATTTGGATACAATCCAGTCTTTCCTAGTTCTGTGTTCTTGGGGTATTTTCTTATGTGTTGGCTACTTTAACTGCTGGTGAGCCTCTAGTTCCAAAGCATCATCAGAAATCTCAGAATAGATTGGTCAATTAGCTAGAGCCCAATCTTAGTGGATGGAAAGAGGAAATTTTTGAAGCTCCGTGTGAAAGATTGAGAAATGATTTGTTGGAAATGAAAAAATTAATATAAACTCAGTGACAGAAAGGGAGGAATCTACATGCCCAGAAATAAGATGCATTCACCTGTTTAATCTGAAAGCTTGTGAATTCAGGGCTCTAAGAAATCCTTGTCAAGAACACATCAGACTCACTTCTGATGAGTTGCTCCATTGGTGCTCAGTAAAATACAGGAGTCAGCTGAAATCTGTGGACAGATGACGAGATGGGGTCTGCAGTAGTATTTATTGAGCACCTGGTGTTTTGCTTGTTTTATCTAATCCCTCACAATCATATATGCGGTGAATACCACTGTTCTGTAGATGTGGGCAGGAGACCAGAATGGTGAGGGAGCTGGTCAGAGATGAAGGCAGGCACAGAGCCCAGGAGTGTGGCACCCAGCCCTTCTTGTAACTGACTCAATGTCATACCTGGAGCCCCGTGGGTCTCTCCTTGACCTGGATGACATGAGCCAAATCTGGGGAGGTGGAATGTTAGAAATAAACACATGGTTTGTACTTGGCAAAAACAAAAACAGAACAACTACTACTTAAAGTATAGGTTAGGGGTAAGCATAACTTAACAGTGCCATATACAAAATTTATCACTGATACGTTTGCCAGAAAAACTAATGTTGATTAGGCCAACCAGTAGACACATCCTGAATGCCAGGTAAGAGACACTGAACAGATGATAAGTTAATTCTGGCCATCTTATGTGGATAAAACAACTGGTTAAAAAACTTCTTCACTGAAGTTCACTAAAAAACAACTTCTTCACTAAAAAACAACTTCACTGAAGGAGGTGGGAATAATGAAAGAACTTGAAGTTTAGTTGTTGGGGCTAGGGAAAAAATGCTTTGAGAGGGTGGTTCCTGCTTAAATAGGATGGAGAGGTGGGGGTCATGTTGTGGGCCTGCTTTCTCCTCCCGCCCTCCCCCAACCCCACCGCTGTCAGCATAATCTGGAGGCCTGCTTGGGAGGCTGTTGGACCAATTTTGATGGCTCAGTTCACCTGGATGCCTGTCTTCCTATCTCTTCCAGGGATCCACAAATGCTAATGAACTGTCTTCCAAGGGAGTGAAAATCTGGGATGCCAATGGGTCCCGAGACTTTTTGGACAGCCTTGGGTTCTCCAACAGAGAAGAAGGGGATTTAGGCCCCGTTTATGGCTTTCAGTGGAGACATTTTGGGGCAGAGTACAAAGATAAAGATTCAGGTGAGGAGACAGTGATGGCTCGGATTTCCTGAGTACCTGTATAGCATGAACTTGCTGTTTCAAGTGCAGTCTCTGGGATGAGAGGTCAGTGTCTGGATTGCTGAGGTGTAACTTTTACCTGTGAGAGGTATAAATTCAGATTCATGTGGAGGAGTCACATCTACACTTAATGAGGTCAGAGCACATGCTCAGTGACTAGCCCCCCATACCGATGGCAGGTGCCATGCCCGGTGTCGTTAGCTGTTGCAACACTATTTGCTGCTATGTTGGGGGGAAGGGTAGAAAGTTCCTCTGGTGGAGAAGACACCAGGGGATGCCTTGCAATTTAGATTTCCCTTTTCAAGACTGAGCTACCCGACACACACACCATGGGTGGCACTGATGTGACAACACAGTTCTCAGTCACCCTCTCCGCTCCTCAAGAGGACTGGTGGAAGACGAGATATCTCACTACTGGATGTCCACCTCTGTTATCGGCCCCATTTGCTGAGTGTCACAGAACCACAGAACCCAGCCGCAGTCTTTTGACCCTTCTTGTCCTGCATGGCCTCAGGCCAGGGGTTGCTAAAGCAAATGCCTACCTTGGACATGTGTCTGCGTGTGTGCAGTCAGTCACAGTTTTCTGGTTGGGCAGAGACCTGGAGAGCATGAGTCATCCGAAGGGGGCAGTCACATTTCTCCCCCAGTCAGCTGGAGGGATTGAGGCCTGATGGTAGAATTCTGCAGTAAAAAATCTAACACCTGCGTTTTTATGTGTGATTTTGAGATCTTTTGAATGTTGGCAACTTCAGTAAATTTAAATGCCATATGGTCCTGGAATAGGCAAATTCATAGAGACAAAGTAGACTGGTGGTTGCCAGGGACTGGGACTTGTTTAATGGATACAACTCTTTAGTTTGGGAAGATGAAAAAGATCTGGAATGGACAGTGGTGGTGGCTGCACAGTACTGGTAATGTACCTTAACGCCACCAGTTACACACTTACAATGATTAAAATAGTTGATTTAATGTTACATAAACTTTACCATAAATGCAAAAAAAAAAAAAAATGCTATGTGCACCAAATGCTTTCTGCAAGTAATTGGTCTGTCAGTTACTAGTTTGTAACCTCCGCCCTAGGACATTCTAAGGGGTGAGGCTACTCTCCCAGCTTAATTGTGCGTTAAATCCTGCCTGGTGTTCAATTATTTATTAAGCAAGAGCTTAAGGAGCCTAACAAAATTACGGCCTTAGTTTAGAGTTGTATGAATGCTCAACTGTTGGGTTGCAGTAGGAGAGTGTCGTCTTAAAGTTTTTGTCTTGAACCCTCCACCCATTTTCCCCCAATGACATCATTCTGTGTAATCTCTTACATAAATTGATATTGGTAAAATTCACAGAACTTTCCAGATTTTCTCATTTTTACTTGAACTCATTTGTGTGTGCACACGTGTGTACATTTTTAGCAGGTGTCAATTTAGGTAATTACCACAACAGGACACAGAATTTTGCCATCACAGTTCATTGTTTACTTGGTGTTAACCTTTTCTTGGAACTGTGATTGTGATAGGACTTCCCCACTGCACTCCCAATGTAAGAACTGAACTAGAACATAGTCTGTCACCAGGAAATGGAAGTTTAACCTGTAAAAACAAGTTCTTCACTTGTCAGCCTCTAGTTCCATTCAAGGAAGGCAAGTATTTGAAGTCCAGAAACCAGAAATGGAAGAAAAAATACATAATGGTGTAATCACTATGGAGGTTTCTTGAAATTTACAAGCTAATAGTTGTTTAGCTGCTGAATTTTAATTTAAATGGAAATATAGAAGAATAGAGCCTGGGTCATAGGAATCCATAGTCCTCGAGTCAGAATGTATATAGAATATTAGATGTTGTTTAAGATCAGTACTTTATATGGAACATGGATGAACTAGATTGTGTCAGTGAAGTGAGAAACGAGTGATTGATGTGTCTGGAGATAAAAGCCCCAATGGGACTACTGGAAGAAATAGATTGTTGTGGTTGGAGGAGACTGAATATTTTAAGGACTTTCTTTTTTTTCCTTTTTTTCTTTTTTTTTTTTTAAAGATTTATTTTTATACAAGAGCTGGGGTACAGGCCAGAGGCGCAGGAGGGTGAGAGGATTCACCAGAGACAGAGCAGGGAGCAGAACAGGCAGACGGCAGAAATACACTGCTGAGGGGAGCAGCAGATGCGACAAGAGGTCTGCCGCGCCATGTGGGTCTCTCCATGGCTGGCCATGATCGAACCCGCACTTCAGAGACAGCTTCATAGCCCGGCGCTCAAGCCACTGCACCACTGGGGATGCCCTTTAAGGACTTTCTTAGGTAGAAAAAAACATAGACTTTGTCATGGCTCCAGAAGACAGACCTAGAAGTCTAGATAGGACCTGGAACTCAACATCACCCAGTGACATTGGAGAAATTAAGTGTGCTGGATCAAGGTCAACCATGGGCCAAGGGTGCTGTGGAAGGACAATGTGGTAGATGACTTCTGAGCCCATCTTATAAGATGTGGTGATTAAAGTGTATGCCTACTCTCTCTTTGTGACAATTCTACAGATTATTCAGGTCAAGGAGTAGACCAGCTGCAAAAAGTGATTGACACGATCAAAACCAACCCTGATGACAGAAGAATCATCATGTGTGCTTGGAATCCAAAAGGTTGAAAGCATCCCAATTATCCTTTTGTCCTAACTTTACTGTTAGCACGAATGGAAGCAGTGTTGGTTGGGAAATCCTGGGGGGCAAGTCACATTTAGCCCCATTTTCACCTTCAGAAGATGGGTTGAACCCAGATTTGGGTCTTAGTTTGTATACTTATGCACATTCCTCCTCCAAAAGGGGCTTTTAATTGCCAAAATACCCTTATGATTTTAATGCTTTAAGTTAGAACAGATGAAGTTTCAGACCTGGCTTTCACTAACATGTTAAATAGTTCTGTTATAAAATCAAGCTCTGTCAAAGTATGATAAATATTGCCCACAGTAGAATATTTGCATTTATAATAGAAACTGAATACCAGATGGTGTGCCTGACACACCAGTTTCCTGTGACCCCTGCAATGAATGGACTGTTCCTCTATTTGTAGTCTGGTGCAATGAAGGTAACACATATTTCCGATCATGTGGAATAGCATGGATTCAGCTATAAATGCACAAATGCAGAAGTCTCCTGTTGGTAGATATGTCTCCATCTGGTTTGTGACATCAAGCCCCAGTGGGACCACTGAGAAAAAGATTGTTGTGGTTGGAGGAGACTGAATATTTTAAGGACTTTCTTAAAGCCTTTTAAGACTTTAAGCAGTGGGATGGTCACCTTTTGACTTGATGGAAGGTGCTAGTCATGGGCCTCACTGGCCCAGTGGCCCTTTGTTGTGATTTCCACTATATGAGTTGGCTTCTGTTTCTCCTGTCTTGGCTTTGCCTTTAGCTATGTTCTTTAAAAGCACCCTCCTTAAATTCCTCTGTGCTGACTCCTCAGATCTTCCTCTGATGGCCCTACCTCCATGCCATGCCCTTTGCCAGTTCTATGTGGTGAATGGTGAGCTATCCTGCCAGCTGTACCAGAGGTCAGGAGACATGGGCCTGGGCGTGCCCTTCAACATTGCCAGCTACTCCTTGCTCACCTACATGATCGCACACATCACAGGCCTGAAGGTAGGCTCCTCTTGAGAAGAGTGGACTGTTGTCAGCTCAATACGCAAAGCTCTTAGGTTCTTTAAAATAAGAAATGAGCTTGCTCACTTTCTGCCTTTTATGGAACTTTCTTGTCCTTGTGGCCTGCATGAACTAACAAGTTTATGTACAGGTTTACAATTTTCATGAATTAACTTTCTTAAAAGCTACACTATTTAAATTATTTTTGGAAAAGGCTTGGGATGTCTGAACACTCCATATAATGTCTTTTAAATGGTGTGTTTGAAAGGAATTGAAACAAAAATATTTACTTTTTTGCTTTCTCCCATGGAATTTAGCCAGGCGATTTTGTACATACTTTGGGAGATGCACATATTTACCTGAATCACATTGAGCCGCTAAAAGTGCAGGTAAGATGACTGTCTGTTACACTTTAGAGTTGGGTACTTTCTTTTGGTAAAAGGTTGATGAAACATCCCTCATGAAACAGGCATTCTGCTCTGTGCTGTGCGGAGATAAGATGACTTATTCCTGCTGCAGGACTCCCATTTAGGGACAGGTGGGACCAGGGGCAAGGCAGGCACTCAGCTCAGCAGCCACAGACACTTAACATGACGGGTTCTGGGATCTCTGATCACTGGTCTCTGATGTTATTGTTGTGTTTTGGTGCACCATGAACTGGACCCATACAAAACAAGGAAATTAACTGACAAATGTGTTTATTGTGACTTCTCCACGGCTGGCTGTTCCCCTCTCCCCTGGCCTTCATGTTCCCTGAGACACAATATTTAGAGCAGGCCAGTTATAGTCCTACAATGGCCTCTAAATATTCAAGGGAAAGGAAGAGTAGCACATCTCTCAATTTAAATCAAAAACTAAGAATGATGAAACTTATTGTTGAAAGCTGAGTAGGCATAAAGGTAGGTCTCTCTTGCACCAGTCAAGTTGTGACTGCAGAAGAAAAGTTCTTGACTGCAGCTTGCTGAAGACTCAGGTGATGGCTAGCATTTTTTAGTAATGAAGTATTTTTTAATTAAGTACATAGTGTTTTAGACAATACATACTTAAAAGCCTATAAACATAAAATTGTGTGACTTGCTTTATTGTGATACTTGCTTTTTTATGGTGGTCTGGAAGCCACCTGAAATATTTCTGAGGTATGCCCATACCAGAGAGGAGGAGCCACATTCAGATCAGGCAGGAAGGTTGGCACCTTCCTGGAAGTGGCATTTCAGCTCTTATTTTTATTTGAAAGAGAATTGAAGTGCAAGTGTTTTCCCTTAATTTTATGCTAAGGTCAGTATTTAGGTATGATCTTTCTAAAGCCTGTCTGCTCAGATCCATGTTAAAGCAGATAACAAATGGTGATTTGAAATGGCAATAAAAATACGAGTTTCTGTGCTTAATGAGTGCCAAGAAAGAAATTTCAAACCCTTTTTAGCCCTTTCCAGATTACATCAGGTTTTGAAAGTTACAACGCCTTTTAGGGAGCTTGGTTGCCTTTGATTAGAGGGTGACTTCAGGACACTTTATCCCAAAGCGTCCCTGGTTTTCTGCTCTAGTCGAACTGGATAGAATAATGTGAGGTCATGACCTGTGTCCTCATCTTTACTGTTCATCACAGGAATCCTAGCTAATTGTTAATCGTTAATCCTGTTAACTGTCAACAGATACCATCTTTCCTTGCTCATTCTGCCACTAAGTTGGGATAAGGATTCTGGAACTCCGTCACCATACCAAGTTATGAGTAACAAATGGCACAAGTCAAACTATGTCCCATCCTTAATACAGGCACACCTCATAGATGCAAGTTCAGATCCAGACTACTGAATTGAGTTGTGAATTTTCAGATACCCAGCATATATAAAAGTTATAATATACTGTAGCCTATTTGATGTGCAGTAGCATTATGTAAAGAAAAAAATGTTTGCATACCTTAATTTAAAATTCTCTATTGCTAAAATATGCTATCATCTGAGCCTTCAGTGAGTCATGCGCTTTTGCTGGTGGAAGGTCTTGCCTCGTAATGTTGATGCTGCTGACTGATGGGGTAGTGGGTGCTGAAGGTTGGGGTGACTAGCAATTTCTGAAAGTAAACAGTGAAGTGTGCCAAATCAGTTGATTCTTTCATGAAAGAGTTGTCTGTATCATACAATGCTGTTTCATAGCATTTTATCCACAGTGGAACTTCTTTTAAAGTTGGAGTCAAGCCTCAAGCCCTGCTACTTATTTTCTCAGCTAAGCTTATAAATGTAATATTTTCATTTCAGCAATGTTCAGTTTCTTCTCCACTGATGGATTCTAAGAAGCTACTTTACTCATCCATAAGAAGCATTTCTTCTTTCATTCAAATTTCATCATGAGATTGCAACAATGCAGTCACATTTTCAGGTTCTGCCTTTAAGTCTGTCAAAGTTCTTTTGCTATTTCTACCACATCTGTAGTTAACTTCCTCTGCTCAAATCTTGAGCCCCTTGAAGTCATCTTTAAGAAGTTGAGGGTTGGAGTTAACTTCTTCCAAATTTCCGTTAATGTGGATATTTTTACCTCCTCCCATGAATTATGAATGTTCCTAATAGCATCTAGAAACGTGAATCCTTTTTGGAAGATTTTCAGTTGACTTTGCCCCATATATATCAGAAGAATTATTGACTGTGGCAACTGTAGCCTTATGAAATCTATGTCTTCAGTAAGACTTGAAAATTAAAACTACTCCTTGATGCATGGGCTGAGAATAGGTGTTACATTAGCAGGTATGAAGACAACATTAATCTTGCACATCTCTGTCAGAGCTCTTGGGTGGCATTTCCAACGAACATGACCGAGGTGCATTGTCAGTGAATAGTAATATTTTGAAAGAAGTCTTTATCTGAGCAGGTGAATATAAACAGTATTTAGTAAGCTATATTGTAAACAGATGTGCTGTCATCCAGGGTTTGTTCTGTTGATAGAGCACAGGCAAGCTAGATTTAGCATAATGTGTAAGGGCCTAGGATTTTTGCAGTGGTAAATGAACATGACTTTAACTTAAAGTCACCACCTGCATTAATTAACCTCTAATTGGAGTCCTCTGAATAGTCCTTTGAAGCCAGGCATCGATGTCTCCTCAGTAGCTATGAAAGACTTAGATGGCATCTTCTTCCAACACAAGGCTGCTTTGTCTCCATGGAAACTATTTAGTATAGCCACTGTCATCAATTATCTCGGCTAGATCTTCTGGCTAACTTGAGGCTGCTTCTACCAGCACTTTTTGCTTTTCCTTGCACTTGGTATTATGGAGGGAGCTTTTTCCTTAAATCTCATGAATGAGTCATGAATTCATACCTTACGGATCAAATCTTATGCTGCTTCTGCAGCTTCCTCACTTCTCTCAGCTTTTATAAAATTGAAGGGAGTCAAGACCTTGCTCTGGATTGGACTTTGGCTTAAAGGGATGGTGTGATTAATTTCATTTACCCAAACCACTAAAACTCTGTATTAGCAGTAAGACTTTTGCTTTCTTACTGTGTTCACTGAACTGACACCTTCAGTCTCCTTCAAGAATTTTTCCTTTGCATTCACAACTTGACTAACTATTTGGTGCAAAGACCTAGCTTTCAGCCTGTCTTGACTCGATGTGCCTTCCTTACTAATCTTAATCATTTCTAGTTTTTGCTTTAAAATGAGCAACATGGGACTCTCCCTTTCATTTAAACACTTAAGAGGCTGCTGAAGGGTTATGAATTGACCTAATTTCAATATTGTGTCTCAAGACTAGGTCAGTCTGGGGAGAGTGAGAGAGACAGAGCAACAGCCTATTGGTGAGGCTGTCAGCACACACACACAAGTTCGTCGTCTATAGGTATAGTCCATGGCGTCCCAAAACAATTACAATAGTAGCATCAAAGATCACTGATCGCTATAACAGATACAGTAATCATGAGAAAGCCTGAACTATTGTGAGAATTATCAAAATGTGACAGACACACAAAGCGAGCACACGCTGTTGGAAAATTGGAGTTAGTAGACTTGCTTGATGCAGGATTGCCACATACCTTCAATTTAAAAAAAAAGCAAACTATTTTGTTTTTGTTTTTTTTTTTTGTTTTTTTTTTTTAATATTAAATTTTATTTTTATATTCCCCCATACAATTGCAAACGCCCCATTCTGACCCCAATCCTTCCCCTCCCGCCCCCCACCCCCCAAAAGTGTCTCTGGTTCATAGTTTTTTGTTGATTTTGATTTTCACTTTCTTATATTCATTTTCCTGGTCCCTTATTTAAGTTTTCTAGATTCCTGCTATGAGTGAGACCATCCGGTATTTTTCTTTTTCTTTCTGGCTTATTTCGCTGAGCATGATCCCTTCCAGCGCCATCCATGTTGCTGCAAATTGCATGTGTTTATCTTTTTTGAATGCTGAGTAATATTCCATGGTATATATGTACCACATCTTCTTGATCCAGTCATCTATTTTTGGGCATTTGGGTTGTTTCCAAAGCTTAGCTATTGTAAACAGTGCTGCTATAAACATAGGAGTGCAGGTGCTCTTTGGAATTGATGTTTCTGTGTCCTTTGGGTAAATACCTAGGAGTGGAATTGCTGGATCATATGGAAGCTCTATGTTTAGTAGGTCCAGAAATCTCCACACAGCTCTCCATAGTGGTTGGACCAGTTTGCACTCCCACCAACAGTGCACAAGAGTTCCTTTTTCTCCACATCCTCGCCAACATTTGTTGTTGCTAGTTTTTTTAATATGTGCCATTCTCACTGGTGTGAGATGGTATCTCATGGTAGTTTTGATTTGCATTTCCCTGATTACAAGTGATGTTGAACATTTTTTCATATGTCTGTTGGCCATTTGCATTTCCTCTTCAGAGAAGTTTCTTTTTAGCTCTTCTGCCCATTTTTTGACTGGATTATTTTCTTTGTTGTTGCTGAGTCTCATCAGCTCTTTGCAGATTTTTGTGATCAGTCCTTTATCATTAGTGTTGGGTGCAAAAATGTTCTCCCAGTTGGTGGGGTTTCTCTTTGTTTTTGTTATTGTCTCTTTTGCTGTGCAGAAGCTCTTTAATTTGATGTAGTCCCAGCTGTTTATCTTTCTCTTCACTATCACTGCTTTGGGTGATGTGTCTGTAAAGATGTCTTTGATGTGCAAATCCCGTAGTGTTTCGCCTATATTTCCTTCTATGTATTTTATGGTTTCAGGTCTTATGTCTAGTTCTTTAATCCATTTTGAGTTGATTTTTGTGTATGGTGTGAGGTAGTGGTCAAGCTTCATTCTTTTGCATGTAGCGACCCAGTTTTCCCAGCACCATTTATTGAACAAACTTTCTTTGCTCCAATGCATAGTCTTCGCTCCTTTGTCAAAGATTAGTTGACCATAAATCTGTGGGTTTATTTCTGGATTTTCTATTCGATTCCATTGGTCTG